CGAAAGTATCCGTGGAAAGAAGGCCCAAATTTGGATCAAAGTGCGAAAGCTACATGAATTACGGAATCGCTTCAAATTCTCATCAAACAAGTAATGGTTTCAGGAATTTTGAAAGAACCTTTCTGTGAAAATTAAATTTATGGCTGCATGGCGTTAAGGTTCCTCTAGGACCGCGCCCGTTTGCAGGGTACTTAGATAAATGTGTTAGTTAGAACCTTCATCTATCCAACTCATCAAAGATTCAACCCATCGCTAACATAGGTTTTGTGAACTTGTCACGAGATCGAAAATGTTTTTTTTCGTTTACTAAGATCCAAAATTCTTACTACAATAATAATTTGATTGCGATTCTTTCAAGAAGAATCAAGCTTCTCGCGACGAAACTAGTAGAGAATTCTGGTAAGAATGCTTTCCATCTGAATATCTTGAGACGAATCTCTATTTCAGAAACTCTTGCCACGTGGTCGGGAATTCTTTCCTCAAGAACGAGAATTCTCTATATCAGGCAATGAAGTATTATAGTTATCCTGGAAAGAGTGTTTAATTGAAAATATTATGCAGGGAATTCATAAGAGAAGAAGCAGAAACCTTGTCGAGGATTCTTATAACTGGACTTTTATTAGGTAACCTTTCACCGCCAGTAGCTTTGATCTATACGCCTAAAGAGCTGATGCAGTTTTTTCAGCCTTGCTACCTTACACCACTGGAGTATAGACATACATGAATGATTCACTAGGAAGACAAAACGGTGATAATTTTCATCCACATTTCCGTTGAAAATTTGCTACCTTACACCACTGGAGTATAGACATACATGAATGATTCACTAGGAAGACGAAACGGTGATAATTTTCATCCACATTTCCGTTGAAAATTTGCATCACGATTAGAAACGTAAGTGTTTAAATATGCAGTTAACAGCCAGCTGAATACATTTTCCTTGTTAAGGAATAAACAGTTCTGCTGAGCAACGTTATAGGTAGCTTTGGACACAAATGCAGCTCATGGAAAATTCATTCGGCCTTCAAAGTATCAGTGATAGACTTTCATCGCATATTGGCAATTTCGATTACTTGGACAATAAAAACCTGTTTGTCGTACCTTTGTTTTGCGCTGCGAAGTTAGGCGTGCCAATTATTTAAATTTAATGCAAATTTGTGGATGCGAGATAAGAATGTAATTAAAAACCTCCGAAGAATATTCCCAGGCGTTTGCCTTTCTTATTCCGCTCGGTGTTTTACTTCAGTATTAACCTGAGATAAATCGTTGGGTATCATGGTCAACTTAACCTACGCTGGGCTTCTTGTTGGCTGACAAGGGATGCTTAAGAAATTTTGTTTTGCTGTGACGTGTTTTTATTCATTGGAAAAATGGCGTAGTCTTCCTTAATTTGAAACAAATTAAGAGCAAGTAAAAGTCTCAAGTTCGTTTTAAGTTTAGTCTTTAAGAGAAACTAGGAATATCCATAAATTTCAATCGAAGAACGGAGTCTACATTTTACCCCTGTTCTGCGGTCTTCGTCTGAATTTTACGCTCGGTCTGCGGTTTGCAGTCTGTGTCTTACGCTGACCGGATTTGGTACAATTCATTTAGAACTTCAAAGTTAATTTATTGGGAGTCCAAGAGATTGATCTGCCTAAGCAGAGACCTGCTCTTTAAATGGCTAAACTCTGTATCTGACTTTTTAATGCTATGGGTGCAAATGTTTACACTTAACGACATTCATACTGCACACAGAAATTCTCTTCGATTAGCCTGAATCGCTCGAGAAGATGTCATGTCACATCGACGGGAAATTAATCAAGCAAACCCAACAGCCGTTGGTATCAATAATGGCGATCTTTTAAATGCTGATATCTTGGATCACCTAACCCCAAAAGCTCAGGAGCTATTATTTAAAGCCAAAAACTTTAAGAACAGGTAAAGCTATGCTTATTGCTGGGCAAAGAACCAAGCCATCTACCTATGGAAAACTGAAAACTGGGAATTTTAAGCAAAAATTTGAGGCTACTTATATAAAATAAATACTAAAAATTAAAAAAATCCCAGCTTAAATTCAAGTATTCAATGAAATTTATCTACAAACCTAATTAAGGTTTAGGTGTAAAATATTTTGATTGTATTATTAATATTATGATGGAATTTGATTTATTTTTCTTTTCTTAAAAACATCATATGAATTAATTTTTGGATAATATTTGGATAAAACTCTTGTGTGTAAACATTCAAATGTAAGCAATCAAGCAGCACTTTCATTTTTTACTCTGTTTTTGTTGATTCTGCACATTGAAATTCAAAGATTTCTTCTCAAATTTTGACCTAGCACTCTTGGGAGTGAAGGGGTTAATTACAGTTAAATAGAATTGATATTTTGATTAAAATCTTGTTGTAACTGTTACAATCAATTAGAATGAAGTTATCTTAAGTTGCAGACTTAGCTGCTGATCGTCTTTTTTTCCTGGGCTCACAGCTTTCCCTGTTGGCCTTGAATGAGGTTGTTTACAAGAAGCTTGACTATTTTATATCTGGATTCCATGACATCTGAATTTGAAAAAATATACATATACATAAATATATATTAAAAGCTCAGCCAAGGCCTTAGATAGCTATAAGGAAAAGGACATTCATTGGAATCTCAATTTAACAAATTGCACTGGGATTGGGAAATCTCTGCTATATTGAATGACTTTTATATTGGAGTTAGTACATCTCTCCCATAGATTTTACTAAAAAAGGGCTGAATACAGTATTTTGTTTTTAGCTAGGAGGGCTTCTTTATGTAATAAGGTTTGTTTAATCACTGTTTGTATTATGGATCTTGAATGTTCCCAAAATGTGACTAAAGTAATCTTGAAACCTTACTGATAAATTTATTTCTTTGTAAAGCACAAGCTTAAGAAACTGAAGCATGCAAGTGACCGATTCGATTCTCAGATTTATTCTAGTTTCAGTTGCGCCGAGCGTTATGAGCTTAATTCAAGCCGGATAAGGTTCCCGCACAGCCTCATTAGGAAAGCAAATTTGTTTTACAATAGTATGGCAATGTCTTGTTTCTGTCAATGTTTTCTCTATCCAGGAACTGAATGCATAATGTAGTATGGGGCTGTGTGGAAATTTCACCTTCAAGCCGTTATATCTATTCTTTGAAAAATTGTGATTACGTAACGAATGTCGCAATTTTTACTCACCACAAACGTTCAAAATCGTAGCTTTATAAATGGCCACTCGACCCTTGTTTGTACCAGTCAAGATGTCAACCGTCGTCCCTTTTTTTAACTTCACGGCGCCAACAAATTTCTTTTCAATTACAACACTCACGCTGTTCTCGTTTTCACACTGAACCACAACAAAACCTATCTTTAGAAATGTTATATTAGGCAAAACAGTTGAGAAAAGAAATAACTTTACACACGAGCGATCAACCGATGAAAAGTACATTCAAAGATGAGTGCCAAGTAGAGGCTCCTTTATATTAAAGTTCACACGCCAACCAGGTGGACAATCAGACATGGCTTGATGCTACTCTGGTTTACAGATTAAATGAATGTAACCGAAGAAGTTACAGTTAATAGACCCAACGTTTCGACACTCCTGTCTAGTGCCTTCATCAGGGGCGATCTAAACGCTGCAACAAGAGGTCCTTTTATATGATCACTAATTAGCTGCCTTTTTTCTGACAGAAAACAAAGGCGATGGTGATAACGCCGATTGGTGGTGATGATTTTAGAATTATCCCACCCAATTATACGGTTAGTTAGGCATGTGTGCTCCGATAAAGCTGAAGTTTCCTTTTTGCGAAAGAAAACCGCTTTTTGATGCTCTTTCAAACGTGTACCAAACTGACGTTTGGTCTGTCCGATGTATTCGTTGTATCGAAAGCAGAGCAAAAAAACTGAAAAATAAAACAGCAACAACAATCATGAAAAAAGAACGATTAACTAGGTGTTTAATTTGTTTGTCTAAGGCATGAAATTTCTATCACAGCAGCTTTTGCTGAAGACATCAACAACTTTACATAGGAATTAGCCCACAAGACAATTGCGTAAACAATAACTAACATAATAACAATATACACAAAAAACACAGGATTTTGGATCATGTATTTATTAAAAAAGAATATCCATATAGCTACAATGAAAACAAATAGACGATTCACCTTTCTGATCGTGAAATTAATATCATTCCTACTGTTATCGTAGCTACGTTCCTTGGCATCAAGTGAATCCTACATGGCGTCTTTCTTCACAAGCAGTTTGCTTTCGCCAAAGCAACAATTCTAGAAGTTCTGGTGACGGAAGTACAACATTTTTGTTTACGATTACCTGGAGCTTTATGGTGCAAACGCTCAAAATACTTACAGACGTACACACAAGTCGTATTGCTTGCGGCCAATCCACACTAAAAGATGTTATTGAGCGGTATTTTTGGAAGATGTTATTGAGCGGTATTTTTGGAAGGGATTGAGCCGCAAACGCTTGAAAGCCATGAAAGCCGTGTATGCCAAGTATGCCAATGTCCTAGTTGAAAAACGTACAGTTGTTGAAAAAAGCAAAATCGTAAATCTGAAACCAAACTGCATATATTCTATGCAATCTATTGAACAACACTACCATCGTGAGACTGAAGAACAAAACTCTAATGGATGCAAACTGCTTATGAAGAAAGACGCCATGTTGAATTCACTTGATGCCAAGGAACGTAGCTACGATAACAGAAGGAATGATATTAATTTCACGATCAGAAAGGTGAATCTTATGTTTGTTTTCATTGTAGTTGTATGACTCAATCCGTTCCAAAAATACCGCTCAATAACATATTCTGTTAGGATGAATGATGTAGGACATGTACTATTAGTAAATGTGAATATTTAGACATCCGACCCACACAAACACTCCTTATGTGTTCTCGGGTTTTCTAAATATCCATAGAGACAATTTAATTTCACTGCAAAATATGCGAAATATATAACTTGCGTTGAAAGTCTCATGTAATTGGCTACTTTAGACAGGAACATATTTATAATCGCTGGCCGCGTCCCAACTAACTTTTTCTTGATCATCCTCATTTGGTGTTGCGCGATGAATACCGACTAATTTTGCTACTCGCTTCTTCCTTAAATATGCCAGATAGTTATTTTCAGTTCTTGTCATTCTTTCACATTTTTGTTTTAGATCAGAAGACAAATCCGACCTTAAAGTGAAACCTTTCGCATACTTGTTGCCATACATTAACTGCTTACTTGGCTTGTCTTCAAAACATTTACTTTTAAGTTCCTGTTTCATTCGACGAAAGTTCGTAAGATCGTCGTAAAAGTCTTTTCCTTCCCTTTCGATTCTTTGCCAAAGAGTTTGGTTAAAGTGTTCGTACAGCAACACGTCGGCTTTGTTCCACCGCTTGATGTTCTCTTTCGTAACATCTGATATTTCAGTAGCTTTGTCCTTGTCAAGCCGTTCGTTTGTTTTTACAAAAAGTACATCGTCCAATTCCCAGCATAGTAATCTCTTCATAAGAACCACAGATTCGTCAAAATAGTCTGCGATTAAAACCAAATCAAACTCTTCTTCCAAGAATTCAACGTACTCTTTAATGGCTTTGGCATCCTGATAAAAGTTGAAATCCAAACCTAGATCAAACATTTGCGGATTTCTAGCTAAAACAGAACTTCCGCTTTTTCTGAGGATATTAAATCCTATTCCATTCTTTAGAAATGCTTTCAATGATTCAGATGGATCTGTCCCAAAACCGAACACAGTTCCGATTTGCATGTAGTTAAAAGTCGACTCAAACTGTTCGACCGGGTTTCTGACGATTGTCACATATTTGCTGGCGTCTTTTGGAAACAAATAGTTCATGGCTTTCTTATTGAATCTTGTGTGACTGCAAAGAAAATTTGGTCGCGTTCCATCGAAAGCGAGAGCTTGTCCAATGCGGAATCGCGTCGGCCATCCAATCAGAGTGTCCGAGCCAAGAACAAAGGAAAGATCTCGAGAATCGCCATAACGAAAGAAAATGTTCGAAGTTGTGCTTGAACCTGCTTTGTGTGTTTTGAGAAAAAGAACGTATTGTTCCGAGGAACAATTGGTGGCTGCTTCTGTCCTTGATTGTTCTGAAAAAAAAAGAAAAAAATTGTCTTGTTAGAAGTTTTGGTAAGTGTAAGTATCACTAATTACTGTATTATCCAACTGCACAACGTAGAATGCAAATAACGCGCGAATCAAGTACAGATATTTTCCCACTTTTTATGAAATGCGCATGAAATAAGGCAGTTGGACAATAGATAATTTTGACTCGCCCTGCGGGCGATACGACACAACTCGTAAAAATACCCAGGGATACTACACACCAAACTTCTAATAAATATATGTATTTATCTTGGTATTGTGTTGTATCTTACGAGCTTGGAATTTAGCGCCGGGGGGGGGGGGGGGGTAGGAGGAAGGGGAGGAAGGGAAGACGGGGGAGGAGTTTAGTTGTGTCAGGATAAATTTTATCTGATCCCCCTGCCTTTCTTGGCAGCAGTCGATTTACTATACTACCCCACTTTAACCTCTGATGGCAACGACTGACCCGCCTCTATTCCCCCCTCCCCCAGGCAATAGATAAAGACTTGTTTCTCAGTTTAAGTGACTAAGAGTGCTGCTGGTTTCTCTGGAAGGGACACTAGTCCATTTAAGGTGAGAGAAGAAGTATGGTCCAGACTGATTGGGTAATTGTATCTCCGCCAATAAAAAGTATACATGTAGTGATGGTACTGGCCGCATTTTGAGACTCCAAAGAGTTACCCGACGTTTGGATAAATGGCCTCAAATGTGCCAAACATTTGTTTACAGATGCCATCATTTTAATTCTTGCTTCGCATTCTTGCCAATCAACCGTGAAGTAACCAAGTCTCAAACCTCTTTTTACCCAATCTGGGAGATAAGTTCAACCTTTTAACTCCTGCAATTTTAACGCCTTGAAGTAAAGTAAAGTAAAGTAAAAGTTTATTCACACAGGGTAGCCCATTCAGCTCTAAGGCTGGTATCCATAGGGGCCCTGTTTCTTAAAAATAATTTACATCAAAATTGTCAATTATATATATACATGACCAGAATTTTAAAACTACATTAACAGCCTAAGACTACAAAGCCAAAACACAATTAAGACCTAAAATAGTAGATAAAATATCAAAGTTAAGATAAAAAGAAATGTCTTGCTTGGCGGCAGAACGTTTGAATGTTTTCACTCTTCACAATATTTAGAGGGAGTTTATTAAAAGTTTCTGCGCCAAGAAGAAAGGTCCTTTTCCCAAAATTTTGTTTTACTTTTGGTAGGGATAGCCTCATACTTTGCCATGTGGAATAATTGTGAACATTCGAAAATCTGGTAAAATATGATGAAAAGTAACTAGGAACTAATGAGTGAAGACAGAGAAAAACGAGTTTAGCCTTGTGGTAATAGCGTCTACTGGAAAGAGTCGGCCATTGTAGCTGCTCTATTGCTTCAGATGAGCGAGAGAAACGTGTAATAATCCGTGCAGATCTATTTTGTAAGCGCTGTAGTCGATCTATATCTTGCTGTAGAAGGTTACTCCAGGCAATGTCACAGTAATCAAATAAGGGAAGAATTAAAGCATTATGAACAAGTGTTGTTGCCTCTTTTGTGACGAAACTTCTAATACGGCCCAGAATACTAACTCTTGACGCCACCTTTTTACACACATAGTCCGCGTGAGCCTTCCAAGTCATAAAATTGTCGAACACCACGTCTAGGTATTTAAAAGTAGTTTCGCAAGATATAGACTTTCCGAGAAGATTAAGATTTAAAATACAATCGCGCTCTTTATGCCTTCGAGATGTAAATAGTACACACTTAGTTTTTGAAACATTGAGAACAAGATTGTTGTCTTCTAGCTATTCAGATAGACACTGAAGATCTTGGTTAATGTAAAAAGTTAAATTGTCTACTGTTGGGCCAGCAAGATATAAAACTGTGTCGTCACCGTACATATTTTCAGAAAAGTGTTTGACACAACGTGGTAAATCATTAATGTAGACAATGAATAACAGGGGTCCGAGGATGGACCCTTACGACACTCCAGAAGTGTTGGTCCCGATATTATCTCTACGTTATGAATAAAAGGACAAGTTTTGCATCGTGAGGGAGCGCATCTAAAAGTTCCAGTAGTTCCATTAGTCATTAGTCATTGGTTTAAAATGAACTCCTGACGAAAAAGTTGCCTATGTTTTTGCCACGTTTGAATGAAATGAGTGGGGGTTGCGAAAAGATAGTGCCAGTCTCTGAATCGTTTTGGAGTCATTTAAAATTTTTAAGAATGATAGATTTAATTGCGTGGTTGTGAGGGTGAAATGTAAGAGTAAATGGAATGCGGTCAGTGTTTTCCTTCTCGGCCGTTTGTAGTGCTGACCGTCGATCGATTTGTTGGGCACGGTGGTAGCCCGCTTGAACGACAGAAACAGGATAGCCACGTTTATCGAAAAACTGGCACAGTGCGTCTGATTTTTCGGAAAAATCAGAGTCGTCACTACATAAACGAAAAAGTCTGAGAAACTGTGAAAAAGGTATGGAGTTCTTGACGTGTGATGGATGTGAAGATGAATACAACGAGTAACTATGTGAATGTGTAGGTTTGTAGTAAACACTAGTACATAAGCCGTTGCCTTCAATTGAAATTTTGATGTCTAGAAAAGCCAAAGAAGTGTCGGAAATTTCCAAGGTAGATTTAAGAGCCGAATGAAAGGAATTGACGGCGGTTATAAATTGAGTGAGCTCCTCTTTGGTAGAGGAGGTAGCGCCAATGCAATCGTCAATGTAGCGGCCGTAGAGTTCAGGTTTTGGGCCTTGGTATTGGCTAAAAAATTGATGTTCGATAAAACCTACAAAAAGATTGGCGTAGCTGGGTCCCATTTTAGTACCCACGGCCACACCATTAGTTTGTTTGTAGTAGTTACCACCGAATGAAAAGCAATTGAGTGTGAGTACTAGTTCGGCCAGACGGAGTAGTGTTTCAGAGCTAGGTTCCTTAACAGTGCGTTGATCGAAAAAATGTTTGAGGGCCCGGAGACCTTCGTCATTGGGAATGACAGTGTAAAGAGATGTTATATCTATGGTGAAAATAAGTTTGTTTTGGTCGAGGAAACTAAAGTCACGAAAATTTCAAGTGCGTGTTGGCTGTCCTTAATGTAAGACGGCAAAGTTTTGACGATAAGTGCTATAATTTTGTCTAAATAGCTGGAAAAAATTCGGTGGGACAACTGCAGGCAGAAACTATGGGTCGACCTGGGTTGTTAGGTTTGTGGATTTTAGGTAAAAAGTAAATACATGAAGTTCTAGGAGTGGTAATGATGAGATTTTTAGCAGTGGCCGGCAATTCTTGTTTAGCTATAAGATCTTTAATCGTATTTTTGACAATGTTTTGGTTAATTAAAGTGGGATCTTTGTCGACTTTAGCATAAAAGGAGGTGTCAGAAAGTTGCCGCAAAGCTTCTTTTTGGTAGAGGTCGGCCCGCCAAACAACAACTGCACCACCTTTGTCGGCAGCCTTAATGACAATGTCTTTGCGTTTTTTTAGACTTTTTAGTGCCGACCACTCTTCCGAAGAAAGATTGGAAAATTTGGTGTAACGATTGAATTTAAGTTTGTTGATATCGTGGCGACATTTTTTGAGGAAAAAATCTAAAGATGAGAAATGGCCCTCTGGGGGAGTCCATTTGGACTTTCAAATCTGGAGTGTTTGGAAAGTATCTTTGTTCGAGGTGTTAGAATCATCCTCTTTGTCATGAAAAAAGGCTTCAACTGAACGCGGCGAAGGAATTTTCAACGTCTTGCTTAACTGAAAATTCGTCGGTTTTTTGTGATATGGGAACAAAATTTAAGCCCTTGCTAAGAACTGATTTTTCTGAATCGGAAAGTAGTAAATTTTCTGGAATGGTAACTACAGTTTTGAGGTTTTCAGGCGATGAGTCCTTAGTAACTTGAGGGCCGATAAGTTGGTCCAGTTTTTGGGCCTTAATTTGGTGCAAATGTTTAAAAAGTTTAGAATTGGCATCCTGAATTTTGGCACGAATAGATTGTGCAAAAAAACAGCTGGACAGATTTTTGAAAGTTCAGAGCGGCAATGTAGAATTTGTTCGCTGGGTTTGTTATGTTTTCGCCACATAGCTCTGATTGTGATTCTCATAATATTACGTGAAAAAGAATTTTGGGCGCACTGAATATGCTGACGATATTGATTCGAATGAGAAAGAGAAGATGTATGAAAATTGGAGCGAAAACCCTTAGGAATAACTTTGGAATGAAGGCAACGGCCGATGAAATGGATGTGACTACAAAACCTAGTTTTGGCGAAAATGAGAACGGCTAAACGGAATGCTAGATCTTTACTAATAGGGGGGAAAGGAAAAAGGTAACTTACGATTTCCTGGCGTATCTCCTCGCTAAGTTTCTTCAAGCTTGGCATGGTCCGTTGCTGTGAGATCTGTGGATAGAAAAATTTCAAGGCAAGAGTTAGTGGTCGCAGCAAATAAATGACAAATGAATAAAGGGGTAAGTTTTCTAAAGAAACTGTGGTGCTGCGTCGGTGGGAGAGTATAGCAGGTAATTTAGTGTTAACAACTGGATTGGAAACGTAAATTAGCCACCGTAAAGGGTAAAAAAGCTGTCGTTTCGAGCGTTAGCCCTTCGTCAGAGCGGTTAGAGGAATTGTGGGTTTTGTGGGGGTTTACATGCAGAAAGTGGAGCTACGCCATTGGTGGGAATGTGGTGACGAGAAAACAGGAATATCGGGTTGATCATTTTCAAATTCTTGAATAACCTTGTAATCGAGGTTCGAGGAAACGTAAATGAGAACACCACCATTTCGGCGGGTTTGATCTCTTCGTACAAGTAAATAGCCGGTAAGCTGAATTTCACTGTCGCTGATTGATGAATCCAGCCAAGTTTCGTTCAGGGACAGAACGTGCGGTCGGTGGGTCTCGCAAAAACCCCGCATCTCATCGATCTTGTCGACAAGACTTCGCACATTCAAATGACAAATTCTTAAGCCTTTGACCGTACTCAGCTTGAAATTTCTATTCTGAGAAATTGATTCAGG